GGAGATCATCTTCTCAAGAGTTTCAAGTCTGTATCTGATTCTAAATCAAAGGTTCACCACACTATCATCTCCTCTTTTTAATCTGATTTTGCATTATCTCTAATTTACTTAGCAAGAGTCTGAATTTGTGGTTTACAGGATGCTGGAAGAAGTGCTGTGATTGATTCTTGTATTCGGGTTACTGACAATGGCAGAGAAAGTGTTCATAGAAAAGTATGAATTTTTTTTTTTTGATGCGATCTGTTTTAAAGCTTAGTTGGTATTTTGCTTTTTTTTTGTTATAATGGTTTGTTTTACTCTCACTTGTAGGCATTCTTTATATTTACACTGTACAATACCTCGAATCACAATGATCAGCTCAAGGTAAGGTAATTTATGTTCTTTACTTTTTGTTGTTGGAGATGAAGATTCTTTTTCATGTGTTAAAGTTTTCTGTTGTAATTTGTATATAGTTAGGAGCAAGCAGTCCTGAGGATGCAGCTAGGTGGATCAATTTAATTAAAGAGGCAGCTTTAAAGGTCAAACAAGGCATTTAAGTAACTCGTTGAAAAGAGCTTTACTATTTGGAGAATAGAGACTTATAGTTACATGTTTATGCAGGGTGCTCCTTTTCCTGGAGATGTTTTTAATTGTTCAAGGAGCCGATGGGACTCTTTGAGGTACCTATTTTTCCACAATTTTACTTTAGTCAGTGGAGTACATCTCTAACCTTAATTGTTATAAATGCAACTGCTGTGTCAATAGTTCCTGTCAATATTGTTAGTTACTTAGCACCTATAATGTTTTGTGGTTTCTTAAAAAGAAAGAAATATTTACTGAAATTCAGATTGAGTAGCTCAGTTCGAGATCGTCACTCAAGTTCTATTGACTGGACTCTCCGCCCATCTGCAAGAGTGGATCCCGTTACAACTGATGTTGTTGCACCTTCTCCATGGACAATATTTGGTTGTCAAAATGGTATGGTGCATACTCAATTTTCATTACTTTTTTTTTTTGTGGCTGAATGTGGCTGGAAAGCATATTTTAACATGTAGTTGCATACAGGCCTCCGGCTTTTCAAAGAGGCAAAAGAGAGAGATTCTCTTGGAAGGGTTAGTATCTTTTTCGTACTTAATCTGTTGAGAAGGGTTAATCTGTTCATTGGATTTTCGAAGGGAATCATGTTTTGATCGTTCCTTCGCCTGATTTCACAGTGGGATGATCATCCGGCTATTATGGCTGTTGGTGTTGTCGATGGAACCTCAGAAACCATTTTCCAAACGCTTCTTTCTCTTGGACCCTCAAGATCAGAGTAAGTACTACTGCCACTCTACTGGCAAGCAAGCCTAAGACATTAAAAACCATAGTACATAAACATATGCGGGATTTGGGTTGCTCTATTTTTTAAAAAATATTTTTACTTTTTCTACACTAAACTATTGGAACTCTGCAGATGGGACTTCTGTTTTTACCAAGGAAGTGTGGTGGAACATCTTGATGGTCACACTGATATAATTCACAAACAGTTGTACAGCGATTGGTTACCTTGGTCAGCTACTCAACTTTTGCTACAAGAGTTCTTCTTTGTTTGTCTTATTACTGACATGCTTTAGTTACAGGGGGATGAAAAGAAGAGATTTTTCACTACGACGTTACTGGAGAAGGGAAGATGATGGGACATATGGTTCGTAACACTTAACAGAATTAACTGTTCATTTGATTCTGCCAGATTTTCCATTGACTAACTTTTTATCCTCCTCTGTCCATTCTCTCGCAGTTATTCTCTATCATTCTGTATTTCACAAGAAGTGTCCACCTCAGAAAGGCTATGTCCGTGCGTGCCTTAAAAGTAATGTACGCCTAGATTTAAAATTTAAAAGAAGTTAGTTTCGGCATTTCCTTACATGTTCATTTTTGCAACTACTAATTAGCCCTGCGATGCATATAAATCTGACATCTCAGCCTTCTATGGTTTCTGCACCTACCTTGGTGTTTGCGGAAACTTAATTGTCTCTATACTCTTTTATGATTTTTTCGAGTGTTTTGTATAGGAAGGATACAAATTTTACAGCAAAGTTTGACTGCTAATGTTCCAGAAAAGCTTTTGTTTCACTATCTTAAAAGAACATATCTCTGTGGGTTTGTGCCGATACACATGGAAAACTATTTTTCCTTGCAAATATTGACCTCTTTTCTGTATCCATTGTTTTCAATTGCAATTTTGGCTTGACAATCGAAGCAAGATGACACTTTCTCCTTTGTTTGACAGGTGGCGGTTATGTGATTTCTCCCATAGACAACGGAAAACAATCTGTTGTTAAACACATGCTTGCTGTTGATTGGAAGTCTTGGAGAGCTTATATGAGGCCATCCCTAGCTAGATCTATTACTGTGAAAATGCTTGGAAGACTTTCTGGTAGTTGCTAATTCTCTTAAAGGAAACTGTCTTAGTTTTAGCAGCTTTTCGCTTTATCATAACATCCTTATTGGTTGAATCAGCCCTGAGAGAGCTTTTTAGGGCAAAACATGGAAGCTTCCCTCCCAATCTTTCCTCAGGGGAGTTGTCAAGAAGTGCAAGATTGACTCAGAATGAAGATGGTGTGTTTGGTGATTCTTCTCTAAGAGAAAGTGAAATGTTTAAGGACACCGCAAATGAAGAGAGAGACAAATTTCCCTCAGAGCGCTCTAGCCTTGTCGACTTGGATGAGTTTTTTGATGTCCCTGAACCGTCAGATAATGACTATTTGGAAGAAAGCTGGACCTCAGATTTTGATTTGGACACATGCTGTCAGGTGGCAACATCTGACCTAATTTAAATATGCTTGAAAAGATAACAGTTCTGATGCTTCCGTTTGCCAATCACAGGAATCCCGCCAGCCAAAACTCAATAGCGCCACAAATTTAGTGAAAAAATTACACGACCTTGCAGGTAATCCTACTTATCATGAATTAATTCTGCTCTTATTAGCTGTGTCTTGTCATTTTATTTTCTTTTTCTCCACATTCACCTGCATTTAATGGTTAAATTGGTATTTTCTCGAGCAGTTCAAAAGAGGGGTTATGTTGACCTGCACGAGAGGGCGAGGGAAGAGAGTAGCACGCCTTGCTGCTATGGAACCACACTTCCAACTGATCCTAGTTGTGGTTTGCCTTGCAGTTGGACAGTAACCGACCCCTCTACTTTTCTCATTCGTGGAAAGACTTACCTTGATGACCAGAAGAAGGTAAAGAAAAGCAAATATATTTTGCTTTCTTAGATGCTTTGAATATAAAAATCTGTATTATGTTACTCAATTTGTAAGCATCCTTTTCTGGTGGATGCAGTTCAAGGCAAAGGGTACACTGATGGAAATGGTAGCTGCAGACTGGCTAAAATCTGACAAGCGGGAAGATGATTTGGGGTCTCGTCCAGGAGGCATAGTTCAGGTTCTAATTTTTATTATTGTTTTTTTTCTGATAGAAACTGCTTATTATTAGAAAGAAGTCTTACAAGTTTCTCAAAATACAGAAATATGCAGCAAAAGGTGGACCAGAGTTCTTTTTCATCGTGAATATACAGGTAAGAGGGCACTCCTGCCATCACCGCCATTTTTATTCTAGCTTTTTCATTTGTTTGTAGAAGAATCAATTAGTTTTTTTCAATGGAATAATAGGTTCCTGGATCAACAACGTACAGCCTTGTGCTTTATTACATGATGAGCACTCCCATTGAAGAGCATCCTTTGCTACTTAGCTTTGTTAATGGTGATGACGCATATAGGAATTCAAGGTTCAAGCTCATTCCTTACATCTCCAAGGTTTGCATAAAAGATTACTCCCTCTTTTAAGATCTCTTTATTCTTAGTCTCTCCAATTTACTCATATCTGACTTTAGGTTTTGTGCAATGATCAGGGCTCTTGGATAGTCAAGCAGAGTGTGGGAAAGAAAGCATGTCTTATTGGTCAAGCCCTTGAGATTAATTACTTCAGGGGAAAAAACTATATTGAGGTAACACAGTAGACATGGGTTTAGAGTCCTAATAGGAATTAGGAATTAGTATTTCCGGAACAGTGTTGGCTCTTCAGTTATTATGATTGATAAATTTGTTGGAGCATTGTTAGAGAATCTTAATATTTACACGTCTCTGTTATTTTCAGCTGGGTGTTGATATTGGGTCATCAACTGTTGCAAGAGGAGTTGTGAGTCTTGTTCTTGGTTACCTCAACAAACTCGTGATTGAAATGGCATTCTTGGTACAGGTAAACCAGTTTCCAATGATGTTGATATTACCCTTCTTCCCTGGTTTAACTCTATGCCCAAGTTGATACTCTGTTACATAGCGAAGCATTGGAATTGAGTGTGCAATTGTTTTCTTTGAACAGGCGAATACCGAAGAGGAGCTCCCAGAATATCTTATTGGAACTTGTCGGTTTAACCATCTAGATGCTTCGAAAGCCGTTTCAATTATTCCGTAGAAGACCAAGAAAAGATAAAACAAAGTTCAGATAAAGTATTCTTTGAATTCTATTGAATGTGATAGACATAGTTAGGCTCTTCTTATGCAACCCCATTGATAAGATCTTGGGGATACTGCCGAAGTTATTTGTATAGACTTAGTTCTTTAGCACAATCTACTTTTACAACTCCATGTTAAACATTGATATTCCAATACTTAGATTCCACCATTGGTTTATTCCAGTGATTTCACTTGTTATGATTTTAGCATCTCGCCCATATGCACGCTTAAAGGCTGGTGAAAATGAACAAAAATGCTACTCTTCTTCGTCATGACTCATTTGCCTGATCTTTGCATTAGAATAGCCAACAACAAAGATCTCTCAGTGAAACCCTTTAGACTGAGAATGCAATCATTTCAGTTCTCCACATAACAGTCAGTAAAGGTGCAAACCCAACTACACTTTCCTAGTTTCTTTACCTCTGCAGATAAAGGTAAAGCTCTGACATATTAACAGATACATTACCTTTGTGATGTTCCCTTCACGTATCCAACATATGCACATGTATAAGAATGAATTCAAAAGGGGAAAAGTTAAAAACTTATTATAAAAATTCCTCACTGTTCATAAGTTGAAGGAAACATGAACATAAATTACAGACAAGAAACAAAGAAAAGGATTGGTTTTTTTTTCTTCTTCTAAAACAGAAACTTTGAATGTCTCCAAGAACAACTAGCCTAGCTAGCAATACACATAAAAAGCCTAAGAAGACTGTACAAACAAACTCAAACCAAGAGCCCTAAGAGTTAAAAAAACTTCCAAACCCCTAAAGCTCTTACAGCTAACAACAAGGTCACACGACAACAACAACACTCATGTCAGTTAAAAACCCATGTCAGATTCAGAACAGTTTCCTTCTCAATCCAGAATCAATGCTCCTAGTTATCTTAGTAAGCTTCATTGGAGCTCCAGGACAAGTATCATCACCCATCTTCGAATCAAGACTCCTAGAAGAAGGAGGTGGTGTCTTACAACCATCAAAACACCAAATCTCAGCACTTGAAGCAGAGACAGCAGCCACACTCTGAATCTGCAATGAGAAAATGATTCTCAACAGATTCTGGTAGATAGACTCTACAATCTCTTCATCAGATACCAAAACAAAATCTGGGATTGAATTAGAATCAATCCTCATCGATTCCTCGCACAAAACGACGATTCCTCTGTCTCTATGTGTGGTTACTTCTTCTTCGGACAGTGAAGAAGAATCAGAATCAATGGTTGCCGGAATCGAATCTGGGACATTAGGGTTTGGCGTTTTCGGCTCTATAACCGAAGCTGTTTCTTTCACTTCACATGGCTCTTCTTGCTCCATCATCGAGGGGTTACGAGACCTAACCACAACACAGTAATCAGAATCTTTGTAGCATAGAGAAAGAGTAAAGGAAGAAGAGAAGAGAGAAGAGAGAAGAGAGAGTGTTTGTGTACCTGACGGCTCTGTTCTTGGATTTTGTTTGCGCCATTTTTTAGGGATTTTGTATTTATATTACTGGAAACAAGATGTGAGAGTTAAGTGAATCTTAGCCGTTCGATTGTTTTTTGCATTTAATATCTGATGGCTCTCTTTTAACATCGATTTTGGCTTTTTTTAAGTTGGGAACTTGAGTAGAGACTTTGGAGTTCTCGCCTATGACAACTAATGTTTGTGTGTCCTGTCCGGTCCGGTCCGGTCCGGTCTTCTTTTTTTTTATTAAGTTAAAGGGAAGTTAGCAAAACCGGACCGGATGATTGGTAAAATTAAAATGAACACTTATTCAGATATTGTTCTAAATTAACAAGTTCATTTTTCAAGAAATAAATTTAAAAAAAATTTATGGGTTTTGGATTTATTTTGATCATATCATTTTTTTACATAAAATATTAAAATAATATTTCAATTCTTTATTATGTTAACTTAATCCACGCGAGATCAATTTGTAAAAAGCCTTTTGGTGTTGTTTGAAATCTAGTCGAGGATGAAGAATTGATGAGGTGACGTTTGTAAAGTGGAAGTCGTTGCCACCTTTAAGATTATTTTATGGGATTTTCTCAAATGTAATACGTATCTTTATGTTTCAAAGTTACAATGACACTCACTTATACTAATTTGATAGTTAGGCATTTGATTGTTCTGTCAATTAATCTAGAAAAATTAAACATCTAAAGCTCTGATTTCATTGTTTACTTAGTATGCATTATACCTATTTGCTAGACTTTTAACTGAGTATTATATATTATTAAAAAAAAATGTTATCAAAAAAAGTCTCAGTAATAAAATGTTATCCAACATTATACTAAGTCTCAGTAATAAAATGTTATAAAAAAAAAACTAGATTGAAATCTTTAACCGAACCGCGAATTTTGATATTCGGTGTTCGATTTTTAATCAGTTAGTAATTGAACCAACCGACAGTTTCTGAATAAATTTATTTGCCACTTCACTTTGATTCACTGAGCTTAACTGTTACTTAACCAAAAAAATATTAAACCCACCATCGTCTTAAACCATCTTTAAGAAGAGTATTTTAAGAGTAAGATTTACATAAGAAATTGTCATGTTTAACATAAGATATTTTCCTATATAATTCTTACCCTAAGATATTCTGGTTAAGAATGTTCTTAGCCGGTTTCGAATCGCCATCATCATCGTCACCACTGTCTCCGTCTCTAAGTTATCATCCCACTGTAAAAGTTTGTTTTTGCTTATCTAAGGTTGCATATGCGTCTCATAGCCAAATTTGGGCCACATTAACCAATTTGGCTGAACACGTTTCATTGGTTAACAATAACATGATCAAAATGATGAACAACATTATTCAAAATTTGGTGGTGAATTATTAAACTTTTTGGCAAAGTGATAAAACTCTTATCTTGAAATGTAATAGAACCCATCATGTGGGAAGCTTAGGCAAGAGAAGAGACCCACTTTGCCTTTGAAGAAACAACTCCATGATCATTTAAGTTTGTTTTGTACATCTCCTTTAGTAATCGTTGGTGATCTCTCCATATCATCTTTAATTTGACTTATAGGAAAATATTAACAACAGAATATATATATATATATATATATAATATACTTTACAAAATTAAGGGTTTTAATTAGATCCATGTAATAATAATTATAATACTAAGAAGAAAACAATAATTGAATGAGATCGGATCTAAGAGAGCAAGCCATCTCTGATATGACATGTGGGCCGTTCATGAGCTTGATATTTTGGTTCCCACCTAAACTACTCGACACAATCATATTCTATATTTAATTTTGAGACTACTACAATATAGCTTTCTCTATTTTATTATTGTATCATCTTCAAAAAATTTGATTTCAATTTATTTTTCTTTGTATCATTTTATGTGTAGTGTGTTAACTTGTTAACTTATTAACTTAATAACATACATAATGTTATTAAATAAATGTTAACAGCATTTTGATATAAAAATTTGGTTTATAAAGAAATCTCTGACAACAAGTAATACTTATGGAAATTTTCTAAATTTATGTCAATTTTTTTTATTTTTAGTGTTTGGATTTATTATTTTATAAAAATTATGAAAAAATTTACTAAAAAGACTTTATTACGTACAATTTATTCCGACCACGTTAAATCTATCGCAAACGACACTTCTTTAATATATTATCTTAGTGTATTGCTTTAATAAAATGACATCATTATGTTAAATTTATACGATAAAAAAAATCTCATTCTATTATAGTTCAGGTACATTTTTGTTTAGATTTGACAATACTAATGTATCATATAATTAATATTTAAAATTTAAAAATACCATGATATCAACAACAAGAGAAATAATTAACTGAAAATTTTGTTTTATAATTTAGAAGTCAATTAATTGATGGATATTAATTACAATGGATTCTCTGACCAATTTTTCCTTTTTTTTTTACTGTACTCCTATTTTATTTGTTCAAAAAGAAAAGAAAATAAAAAAAAACTACATCATCCTCTCTCTCTCTCTCTCTCTCTCTCTCTCTCTCTCTCTATCCTTCTCTCTGTTTCATGTTCTGTAATCCCTAAATCCCCAATTTGGGACAAATTAGTTTGTGTCTCTCTCCCTTGCTTGTGCTTGGGGAATGCGTTCTGTGTAGTCAGCTACTATATCAGAAGGTTCGTTGGCGTCTCTGTCTCACTCTCTTTTCTCGACCATTTTCTCAATTATCTCTGTTGTGTTTTTTTTTTTTTTTTTGTTATTGGATTATGAGACAGTACAAATGTAGAATTAGATGATTTGTTCTTCGTTTTGATTCTTCTTTATCTCCTGTTTTGTTGTTTTCTTTTGTGCCCTAAATTGTCCTTACGAATTCTCGAAATGGGTTTGAATTCAAATGATGAAATGAACATAAAAAATGAAATCTTTTTGACTAAAATTGTATGTATGTAAAGAGGAAAATTTGAAAGTTTTGATTTTTCTTATAGTAAAGAGGAAATTAAAAACGAAATCTTTTTGACTAGTCTTTTGCCATTTCTGTTCTGAAAAAAATTGCTCTTTATTGAGTCAACATATTGAGTGAGCTAATGGAAATTGAATTTTTAGTCATACATAATGGAAACTGTTTCAGTTTCTCTGAGAATGATATATGTTACTTGGCTTGGCTTTCTTACACTTTATGTTTATGTTGTTTTTTTGGGCAGTGAGTGACAAATGAGTAACGTTTCTTGGTTGCCTGAAGAGGACTTCAAGGGTCTAGCGGATAATTTCTTTGATAATCTCATTGAGCACATTGATGATTTTCCCCTTGAAGACATCGAAACCGCTGATGATGAGGAAGATTGGAAGACCGGGTTTCAAAACCTTGGGCCTCCACCATTGGATGTGCTAACGAGTTTGCCCTCTGAGTTCACTTGCAAGGGACAGCGTGTGAGAGTCCAGAATACAGTCCCCATTGTGGTGAGTGAGTTCTTAGGCTTGTACTCACTTAATTAAGCATCTCACTTTTTAGATTATTTACGCAATCTTCATAACGGTCATTTGCATTATCTTTAGTATTACCCTTCTGACCACATTTATGCAATCTCCATAACTGTGATAACACTTATATACATCATCTATGCATATTACTTGACATATTATTTACTCATTCATAGCTCACGTTTGCGATGTCGCACTGATTGGGTATAGGCGAGTAGTATATAACATAATGATTCTTTCTAGTTTCAAGCCTTGATAAGCTTTTCCCTGCATTAGGTTAACTAAGTTGCGTGCAAACGAACCATGTTTCAATCCTAAATTTATTGTATATAACAGCATACAATCTTTGATTTAGGAAAGTTGTAACATTTTGGTACTTTCGTATCCAAGCTTGATAGCTTTTTTTTAGCATCAATTGGTTTTTATAGCAGTGGTAGCTAATTTGCGTGAAAACGAATCACTCTTATCTGCATTGGGAAAGTGCATCATTTTGGATTCAAACTTTATATATTTATGTTACTTGATTAGCACATATATCACCCATTCTATTGAATATAAGCTTCCATAGCTTTTCACTGAATTATGTGTGTGTAAAAGTCAAAGAATCACGCTTGTCTATATGCTTCTGTGGAAGAGGAAAGTAGTTTTGTGTCAGTATTAGCGGAATGCTTCTGTGGGTTTGAAACACAATTGCTATTTTTGTTACCCAGTTAGGAAAGCACCAAGAAATTAATCTGAGAGTATAGATGTTAAGTATTTGAAGGTATTTAAAAGGACTGTGCAGTGTTGTAGGTCTTTAACTTTAGCTTTTCTTGTATCAATTTTCCAGGATAGGATGAGGTAAGATAGGTACGGGTGTTGAGTATTTGTGTGGTTGTTTAGGGCCTTTGTGGCAGGGAAAGTTATTTGGGTTCTCTTGATCACTTCAACAAAACACTAAGTTACTTGGGTTACTTTAGTGTCTATGCTTGTTCTTGAGAGGAACAAAGGAGAAACTGTTTTTTAAATCTATCGGTTTGTATGTATATTTACCACAAGAAGGATTAGGCATCGTATGATTGTCAAACTGATATGGAAATCTGTTGATCTATGTGGAACCTTTCATGTTACGTTTGTATGCTTTTCTTATGGCACTCTTCATTCTGAAGAAATCTTCTTTGTTTCTCGCTTAACTTAAGGTAGACAAACCATAATTTTCAGCATATCTGATCCTGTTAGGTAAGGAGAGAAACTGATGAAGATCATGTCTTCTTTTTTTACCATGAATACTCTTATGCTTTTACTTTACTTTTTAGATGCATTGAATATATTTCTGTTTTTAGATTCATTTACTTTGATTGACTTTATGCTTGCAGAAGCAGTCGAGTTCTTCCGATGTCTCTTCTACTGTTGATATCTCCCCTCCTGACGTCAAAGTCTCGAAGCTATTTCAGTCTTCAAGCCCGGTCTCAGTTCTTGAGAACACCAATGGTTCCGTCTTATCCCAAAGCCAAAACAGAATTCAGAGACTGACCTTTCTTGTGAAAGGCATCAGAAGCAAGCGCAAACGCCCTACAACGCTGAAATTCTTCAAGTCACTTGGAGCAGAGATGTCTCAGCACTTCGTTCCGGATGAATCAAAATCTGAAACTCACCTCTCTTCAGAGAATTCTGTCAAGAAGAAACGTAAGAGTCCTGCTCTGTCGATCTCTTACAGTCCAGAACTAATTAACTCAGATGGGACTGTCCGGAAATGCACCCATTGCGAGACAACCAGGACCCCGCAGTGGAGAGAAGGACCCCATGGGCGTAAAACCCTCTGCAACGCTTGCGGAGTCCGGTTCAGATCAGGCCGTCTTGTTCCAGAATACCGTCCAGCATCAAGCCCGACCTTCATCCCAGCCGTGCATTCCAATTCGCACAGAAAGATCATTGAGATGAGAAGGAAAGAAGAAGGCCAATAGGACATCAGAGAGATCCGTGCCATGATTTCTGGAGCATAGAGACTAAATCAGGGATTTGTAACTTCAGCAGACCAAACTCATTTGGTCTATGAGAAAAACAAAACTGTGAGGATGCGTAGAATTGGTTTAACTCTCTCTTGGAAGACTGATGTTCTTTAAAAAAAACTAGGGTTTAGTGTTTTCTCTTTTTCTTTATCTGATGCAGAGAGTTTAGGAGTTTTGTTGAAATTTAGGGTCTTAGTATTGTTTGATTATGTGGTTATGTTTGAAAGAAGATGTTTGGTTGCACATCAATTTTATCAGACTAGTGTAACGCCACCCCTTATGCTCGGCTTCATATCTCCTCAGTCCTCACTAGAAAGAGGACTTGTTAACCAGCTTTGGTCCCTGGCATAGGATCAGAGTGATGTAATGCCACTTTTTTTTTCTTTCTTGTTTAGCTATGTTGGAGAAGCAACCATACTATTATATTTTTCAGTGTCATCTACTTCATTATCACACAACAATGCTTTATAGAAGAGATCTGAGCTATTCTAAGCTTAAACTTTAAAACCACAAGACAACTGAAATTGTTGTAATAAAATTTTGGATATATGAAGTATTTTTCATTGTTTTTTAGTTGTTGATGAAACCTAGAAATGGAAAAAAATTGAAAACAGAAACTCACAAACAAAGTCATCACCAAATGTTAAAACAGTGACAAACACTCACCAAGTACTCCTACTATAAATACATCTATCTTCTTCAACAACTTGTCACCATTAATTAGTGGGCTTTATTGTAGTTGTAAGCTATTATTATTACTCCCCTAACGAGATTCATATACACTCTAATTGTGGAAAAAGCAACTTTGTTTTCTTATTTTATATCCTCCTCCAAGTCTCTTTAAGAGTGTGAAACGACTCATATATTATATATATGTCTATATAAGGTTTTTTTTTTTTTTTTGAAACTCTTCCACAAGATTTCCTTGAACTATAGAAATATAGTGTATAACATCTTTTTTTAATCTTAAACCATCTCTAATATTTTTTTCTATTTTTATTCTAAAATAAAGTAAAATTTATCTATATTGCATCAATCTAAAATGGATTTACTCTAAATATAGGATAATCTTATCATTTCCTCGATCTTAGAGTAAAATATAGGTTAAGTTGGGTAAGATCTCCATAATAGAATTTTAGATGAAATATAGAGTGGAACTAAAAATGCCTTAAATCAAACAACACCTGATTTAACCTAATTTTACAAACTGTAAGCCTTATTCATTGTAAAAATAATTTTTTCTATATTTTTTTTTCGTTTTCAATTACGTAATTGGTATGCTAATGAAATCCGTTTTGCTAGGAATACTAAGTTCTTCTTTTTTTGGTCAACAAATATTAAGTTCATTAATCAAAATTAACCTTAATTTTATTAAAGTCGTCTAAGCAAATGATATTTGTTTTTTTTATTTATTACATCCCTTGGACGATTTTTTTTAGTATTAAAAATATTATTACCATCGCTTGTTAACTTTTATTGTAAAAGAGAAAACAGTAAAATTAGTAGCATCAAAAACATTAGTATCACCTTAGTCATGTAATCTCAACTCATATCATTTATAAAACCTAAGACAAAATCTCAGATTATATTTAAATTCTAGTCAATTTTTCCTTAAATACTTATTTATTATTTAATTAATATAGTTTTCAATAATAAAATACCATTTCCCAACAACAATAAAAAGGACTAAATTAAAGTTTATTTTTAAAATATCCATTCATTAAAGTACGGTATTCTGTATTTTTTGCTGTTACAAAAAGACAGTAAAACTACTATTGTAAGTAAGATATTTTTATTTATTTATCACTTAAACAGATTGTGATAAAACATGAGTAGGTTCAAATTTTCTAGAACCTATATCATTGGTACAAAATCTCAACGTTATGATAAGTTCTGATAATAATATATTTTTTTCTAGTAACAAAAAGTATAATATTATACAAAATACATTTTTTTTTCTTAAATGCAATGCTTTATACAATCCTCTGAATAGAAATCCTTCCAAAAATAATCATTGTCTCAGTTTCCTACAACTGTAAAAAAATTACAAAAGTTAATTCCTTTTATGTATCAAAAAATAATAATTTTTTAAAACATTCTCTAAAAGTGAAATACATCTTCTTAGAAATATAGAAATTTGGAAACTTATTTTTCCCAAATAAAAGTTGATTGGTAAAGTCAAAGATGACACACTTGAAATCCCTAAATCCCCAATTTGGGACAAATTAGTTTCTCTCTCTCTCTCTCTCCCTCTCTTGCTCGTAAGCTTGGGGAATGCGTTCTGTATAGAGTCAGCTACTGTATCGGAAGAAGGTTCGTGGCGTCTCTCTCTCTCTCACTCTCTTTTCTATTCCATTTTTCTCAATTGGTCTCTGTTGTGTGTGATTCTTTGTTTTTGGAGTATGAGACTGTACAAATGTGAAAGAAGATGATTCGTTCTTCGTTTGTGATTCTTCTGTATCTTGTGTTTTGTTGTTTTGTGACCTTAAAGTGTTAAAGCTGAGATTGCCCTCGAAATGGGTTTGAATTCAAATGATGGGATGAATATGAAAAAAATGTAATCTTTTTATGTAAGAGGGAATTAGAAAGTTGTGATTTTTCTGTTCTGAGGAAATTAAAAATGAAATCTTTTTTGCCATTTCTGTTCTGAATTTTGATTTAGTGTTGCCCTCTATTGAGTATTGAGTCAGCATACTGAGTGAGCTCTAATGGAGATTGAATTTTATTCAATTGAAATCGTTTCAGTATCTCTGACTTGGCTTGGCTTGGCTTGGCTTACTTACACTTATCTTGCTGTCTATGGGTTTTTGGGCAGTGAGTGACAAATGAATGACGGTACATGGTTACCTGAAGAGGACTTCAAGGGTTTAGCGGATAATTTCTTCGATAATCTCATTGAGCATATAGATGATTTTCCCCTTGAAGACATCGAAACCGCTGATGATGAGGAAGATTGGAAAGCTGGGTTTCAAAACCTTGGGCCTCCACCAATGGATGTCCTAACGAGTATGTCATCTGAGTTTACTTGCAAGGGACAGCGTGTGCGAGTCCAGAAGACGGTACCCATTGTGGTGAGTTCTTAGGCTTGTACACATTTAATTAAGCATCTCACTTGATAGATTATCTATGCAATCTCCATAACTGTCATTTGCAATATCTTTAGATTTTGCCTTCCGACCATATTTTGTTAAAGAAAGCATGTAAATAGAAGTGACGCTTATATACATCATCTATGTGTATTACTTGACAGATTATTTACTCATTCACAGCTCATGTTTGCGATGTAACACTGATTGGGGCATAGGCGTGTAGTATATAACATAATGATTCTCTCTGGTTTCAGGCCTTAACATGCTTGATTTTGCATGTAGGTTAAAAAAGTGTGTACTATGCCACATTTAACAGCATACAAATCTTTGATTTAGGAAAATTGTTACATAATGGTACTTTCATATCCAAGCTTGATATCAATTTTACCGCATAAGGTTAGAAAATGCAAGAAAAAGGGAATTCACTTTGCATCATTTATGCTACTTGATTTCACATCCCACATCTGCATTAGGAAGAAATTTTGGTACGCCGCAACATGTCAATTCTTTTGGATTCAAGCTTCAGGTTGTTTTAAGTTACTCGATTATTCACACGATCACAAAAACTAGGAAATTGGTTAGCATGTATATCACCCATTCTATTGAAAATAAGCTTCCATAGCTTTTTACTGAATTTATGTATATGAGAAAAGGACTGTGCAGTGTCTTTTTACTGAAATTGATCTTTAACTTTAGCTTTTCTTGTGCCAAATTCCCATGGAGAGGAATATTTGCCAACTCAGCAGCTAGTATATATGTAGGAATTGGTTAGATAGGGAAGTGCGTTGAGTGTTTATGTGGTTGTTTAGGGACTGTGGCATGGAAGATTTTAGGGTTCTCTTGCTCTCTTCAACAAAACACTAAGTTGCTTTGGTTAGTTTACTTGTGAGGAACAAAGGAGAAACTGTTTTCTAAATTTATTGGTTTGTATGTCTATGTAGCACAAGAAGGATTAGGCATAGTATCATTGTCAATCTGATATAGAATTATGTTGATCTACGTGGAACCATGCTCATGCTTGTTTTGTTTGTATACTTTTCTTATGGCACTCTTCTTTGTTCTGAAGAAATCTTCTTTGTTTCTCACTTAACTTTAGGGAGAGATACCATAATTGGCAGCATATCAGAAGATCTTGTTTTGTAAGGAGAGAAACTGATGAAGATCATGTCTTCTTTTTACCATGAATACTCTTAGGATGCATTGAATATGTTTCTGAATTTAGATTCGTTGACTTTGATTGACTTCGAGCGTGCAGAAGCAGTCGAGTTCTTCGGATGTCTCATCTACTGTTGATGGTTCCCCTCCTGATGTCAAAGTCTCGAAACTATTCCAGAGTTCAAGCCCAGTCTCAGTTGTCGAGAGCACCAATGGTTCCCTCTTGTCCCAAAACCAAAACAGAATTGAGAGACTGGCCTTTCTTAAGAAAGGCATCAGAAGCAAGCGCAGACGCCCCACAACGCTTAAATTCTTCCAGACACTTGGAGCAGAGATGTCTCAGCAGTTTGTTCCGGATGAATCAGAATCTGAAACTTACCTCTCTTCTGAGAATTCTGCCAAGAAACGGAAGAAGATCAAGAGTCGTCCTCCCCAGCCGAGCTCTTACAGTCCAGAACTATTTAACTCAGATGGGACAGTCAGGAAATGCACTCATTGCGAGACAACAAGGACCCCGCAGTGGAGAGAAGGACCCCATGGGCGTAACACCCTCTGCAACGCTTGCGGAGTCCGGTTCAGATCAGGCCGTCTTGTTCCGGAATACCGTCCAGCATCAAGCCCGACTTTCATCCCAGCCGTGCATTCAAATTCGCACAGAAAGATCATAGAGATGAGAAGGAAAGATGAAGGCCAATTTGATACCAGAAAGATCAGAGCATAGGTTGAGACTAAAACAGGGCTTTAAAGCAAAATTTGTAACTTCAGCAGACCAAATGAGTTTGGTCTATGAGTTTCTAATTAATCAACGCTTATTTTTGTCTTTCCGCTTGTTTAGTACCATCATTTTCTCGATGTCGTTATTTTTTATAGAATTATTAAACTTATTTAGGAAAAATTAGTACACGATATAACTAAAGCTTATATTAAACACTAGATTAGGCCTGCCTATCTACGCTGGTATAAAAATTATGTCTTAGAATTCTGATACATTGATTTTATAGTTAAATAAACGCTATTTTCCATACATTAATTCTATAGTTTATTTGTTCTTATTTTGATAATTTGTCTGTTTAGTTAAGAAAAGTGTCTTAGGGCATCATTATTGGGGGGATCTTAGAGGCTAAGATCCCCCCAATAATGATGGTCTTAGGTCTTTAACTACGCTGGTATAACTTTAGCTTTTCTTGTGCCAAATCATCTGTATTTTGAAAATTATCTTCTCTTAACAAAATTTTAAGGCTATCTTAGCTTTTTTAACAAAATTTTAAGGCTAAGGACCCATCATTAAACATAGTCTAAGACATATATGTCAAAAACATAGTGAAATTCACTTGTTATATTGTATCGCACATATATATGTTTATATACTAATTTGTTTTCGAAAGTTCTGTATATTGACTTTGTAATCTTTGTTTGATATCAATAAATTTAGAAGGAAAAATATAAAATTTACTCTTTACAACAATTCAGTTTAACTTTTGATATCTAGAGATGATTATGCAACAGTTAAATTTACTCTTCACAAAAATTAACCTTTGTGGTTTGGTATTTGAGTATTTTAACTGTTGCATAATCATCGGTAGATATCAACGTAGGTGAAAATTCAATTATACGATTTAAATCCTGAAATCTCAACAAACGTATTCAGCCAGTATAAGATTCACATCCGAAAGAAGGATTCATAATTTCATCATCCGTTAGCGAATAAGACTAAATCCACAAAACGGCATCATCATCAGAACATTCCTTTGTATTATATAGTTTCTATCCCATTCGTGTAGTAGTAGTAGATGGTGAAAATCATCTGTATTTTGAATATTAATAATAAGTTACATGTTTTTTTTTTTTTTTTAAAAAGAGAGAAAAAGACAAAAAGTGAAACAGAGAAGGTGTCATCTGAATCTGAAGACATAACGACACAGATTCCTCAGACTTCGTTGTCTTTTCTCTTCTTCGTAGGTCCCCTTCTAACCCCCACTTACGTCTCTTCTCTCATTTGTCCTCATCCAAATTCTTTTTATTTTATTGTTTTTCAATAATTCTTAACTTATTAATGGACAAAAACAAAATCATTTAAGAGTTGAGTGAAAACAAAAACATCATTGGTACAAAAAAAAAAAACATCAAAAATTATTATGACCCAACTTATCTTCAATTATTTTTGTATTTTTTCTTATCATCCATCATTGTTTGAGAGCTAATAGACTACTAAACCTTTCTTTTACTTTTTTTTTTCTCATATACATTATATCAACTCGCACTTAAATACATTATAGAGAAAATTGTGGGCTATGCCCTAAACAGTACTAAATATTTTAAGCATTGCCACTTTCAACAATTTCTTCTCCCGCCTGCCACAAAACAAAAATAAAAAACGTTTTTACCCTTCTTTAATTCACACCAAAAAACCAATAAAATATTATTTATTTTTCTCTTTCCACATCTCCTGCATTTTCTCTCTCTCTCCCTGTGGATTTCCTTTTCCTCAAAACCTTCATCTCTCTCTTTTCAATTTTTTTTTATATCAGTGGTAAAATCTAATGGAGGATAAAAGGCTTTGAGGAAGAAATTGTTTCAATCACAACGATGAACAACGATGATTTCACTCTAGGTAGGTATGTGGTTCACGTTGGTGACCAAATCAATTTCCCAGCCACGTTTTTTTTTTCTTTTAATGGACCAGATCTGATGAATCGGAACCGATAGACTAAACTTGTCCACTTTACAAATCTTCTGAAACCACAACTGATTGATCAAAGGATGAAATAAGTAATGCATCTATTGAAGACTTCATTTACGATCCATCGAGGTTTACACTTTGGATCTCACATTTGTAGATCTGGTGGACTAGATCCGGTAGACTAGATCCAGTGGACCAAATTCGGTAGACTAGATCCAGTGGACTATATCCATTTTTGTTTCCTAATTTATTGTCTATCATACGTATATAGCAAACTAAGTCCAAATTTTTCATAAACAAACTTGTCTATAATACATATATTAGATGGATGAACAAAAAAATGTCCCATGACATGTCTAGAAAAATTGTTCTTAAGTTTCGATGGATTAGATCTACTGCACATATCATGTCCATAAATACAATTGTCCATATATAGCATTTACTACTTATCTATTTTTGTTTGTTCTTCGCCAGTTTAAGAAAACTTATGCAATCCTTGCCATAGTACAATAGCCTACTCACCCCGCGTCAGAAGACATGTAATGGAGAAATCTCTCGGAACTGTCAAAGTAAGCTTTCGATGGACGAGATATATTTTATTATTTTGTCTATCATATAAAACTTTATTTACATCATTGTATAAATTGTCTATCGACTATTACCGACATAATTTTAGTCTACATTCCAAGCAATTAATGCTCACTGGCACTCCAAACAATGTCACATCCATGCTATTTTTAAACAAAAAGAAACTAACCTTTCACACTTTAAAGTTGAGGGCAAAATTGTCCAATCACCTATTATTGTGGCATGTTTTAAAAGACATTATTGATAATGGCACTTCCACAATTTTGAGTTTCCAAAATGGCATAATACATAAAATTCCCATGAAATAATACTTTCGTCACAAAATAGTTTTGATACAAATAAAAAGAGTATAAGATAAAAAAAAATCTTCATGAATTTTTATTTTTTAAATATATTATATCAACTTGTATTCAAATACACTATATGGATATCACTTAAGAACCTCATTTCTTAATATATGTTGTAGACCAAACAAATTTTCTAATATTCATTAACTCATACATAAACATAGTTTTGAAATTGAAAAAAAACAAGTATGAAAGAAAGAATCTTGTACCATTTCTTAATATTAAAAGAGACTAAAGAATCTCTTAACCAATCTTTAGTTGAAACAAAAAAAAAATAATAAACCAAAGAGATTTAATTAATTTTAACAAAAAAGAAAAAAAAAAAAATCTAAAGAAATAAGTATATAAATGGAATCAGTTGGCCAATCATGTTTCAGCTTATAAAGGACTTAACGTGGGAGACAAAAGCAAAGCCGTCATGATGATGCCACGTGTACAAATCACTATATGCCAGCTCAGCAACTAAAACAGGTCAACCCTTTCGTATAAAGTGTTTTTTTACTTATAAAGTTTAGTTGTCTTTAGCTGTCACGAGCGTAAGTTAACGTGTTTTGTCAACAGTGTGTATTTTTAATGCGCGTCAGGCGCAATATAGTCTCGCTACGTCCTTTTCGTTTGGGCCCAAACCCTTTTTTTGTTTTGGCCCACTTATTTAATAATAAGCCATTTGTTGTTCTTTTTTTTTTTCTTTTATAACAGTTTCTTCTATACAAAAATTATCAAATTGGATGATTTTAAATGATAAAAAGATAAATTGATAGAGTTTGGAGAATATAACGGTAAATTTCTAAATGATAAGAGATAAATTATTGCAAACACAAATTATTTAATAGATTAATTTAAAATATGTATATATAAGAGAATGGTCCAATATTATTAAGAATATATTCAAATTTAAATTTAAAATAATAGTAAGGATATATCCAAATTTGTAATATCTAAAAGTTTGACCACAAAATATTGTCAGAAATTTTCATTTGAAGTTTTGAACTAAGACCACCTAATGTTTCAGTGACTATAAGTATATTATTACTTGATGCCATTAGATTAAAATGGTTTTTTTTTTGGTTGGATTATTGATGTTTGTGTGGCCAGAAATTTATATATTTACTTGATCATGTTCGTTCTAATATTTAGGAAGGCTTCCAAATTCACTATATTTACTAGTAAAACGCTTTAAGTCAATCAAGCATTTCAATTTAATTTTTGGAAAGAAAAACACTAAAGAAAAAGATCACATATTTGGCATAATTAAAAATTTATCCATAATGTTATAATTGAATGAGATGTAATTTAGAGTAGAATTTTCCCAAATTATATAAATATATGCTATTTTGTTGGTGAATATACGCATCGATCATGTTTGCTCTTTGCAGGTGAGGACAAATATCTCACGAGCACTATTCTTAAGATATGAAACTATATAGAAAAGCTTTGTGGTTACCATTAGAAAATAAAAATAATATCTATTTCTAAACCTTATCATAGAAAGGTTCAACAAACAAAAACAGATGTCAAGATTATGCACATGCAGTTTCGTGTAATCGTCTCATATGCATAGTTTAATAGCTTAAATTCTTTGATTTGATATGTCTCATTGTTTTCATTTAGCAAAAAGAAAAAAAACATAATCCACGAAAGGGCTAATCATTTAGGGGATGGGTTTTTCCAATATATCCCAATTTTATCACAAACATAAACTTTTGTTTCTTATGGGATTTTGTTGACCAAATAAGGGTTTTGAAAAAATAAAAATAAAATTTCATAATAATAAGGGAGAAGGAGGAGTTAATTAATAAGGTGGAATTAAGCAGTTGACGGTGAAACATGGAAAGAGACGTTTGGGTGGTTTGGTTTGGTTGTCTGAGCAGTGACGCTTCTGTCTGATTTGGAAGGTTTGGCGGACAGTGACACAACAACTTAACTACACACACACACCCATCTTCCCTTTTGTCACATCTCCCATGTCTTTCATCCATCTCTCTCTCTCTTTACATAAAGACATGTTAGGAACTTAGATCATACAGACATCATAATTAGATTGTGAAATTATATACAGATGACTTCGGGTTTACTAGCTTTGACGTATGCACTTTGATGGTAATAGCAGCCCAATAGATCACATGACATAACCATTCTAACATGAATATATATAAACTCAAAATACTAATAGATTTATGTTTTTCCATAGGAAGAGTATGACACCAAGCTCATGCATGCCATTTTTGATATGGTAAACTTGGTATAATAGTTTTAAGTCACATAAGTATACATACAAGTCAAACCTTTTTGTGAGATAATTCTTAAACACAAATATCTTCATAATATTTTTGCATTATTCCTAGAAAAAAATTATTTACATTAGAACAAACTGTGAATGTGAAAGAAAAACTATTATGTTGTTATATGTGTGATTAAAGATTATGAAACTAAAAGAAAAAAATTCTGCATAGACAATCTACAAAATTAAGAAGACTATTAAGTATAGTATATAGATCAGGAAAGCTAATGTTAATAGAGTTTGGGTAAAGTACTTTATTATTATATATATATATATATATATATATATAAGTTGAATATATATAGGATAGGAGTCATAGGACATTTAGGACCAATGGACCATTTCATAAATCATAATGCAAGACAACCAACCAACACATTATTTACCATTCTAATTTTGTGTTTGCTTCTTTCTATCCATGCATGTCAATTCCACATATTAAATATATATGAAAATTTTATTTTATATATACATTTACATGAAGTCGAGATAAGCTGTTCTCAAGAAGTATATGGCTGAAACACATTTGAAAGACAAAGAAACTGTGAGTTTTGTCGATGATTTTATGTGTGTTTTTTTTTTCAGAAGTCATGCATTAATTATTATTTTTGTTTTTTCTTATCTCCTGGTCCATTTATTCTCTATTAACTATTTTTTGGTTTTTTGCTCCTATTTTTTTCAACCTTGTTTGCTCATTCTTTGACAACGAACTTACACAAGTATATTTTTACAATTTGTATGTTAGAATAGTCATGTGATTTTTCTCTTGAAACACCACAAGTCGACAAAAAGAATTGGTTACTTCTGTTTCATAAAAGGTCAATAGAAGTTAATATAGTCCTATCTCTTTACTTAAGTTCGTCTGTTTTAGAGTTGTATATAGTTAAGAGAGTAGTAAATTGGTTAACAAAAAAAAAAAGGAGAGAGTAGTAAATTCAACACATACATACGAAAATTGTTTCTCACAATTCTAAATATTGTAATTAGGGATCAGCGAGAAGAGAACTCATAAACCAAGTACGTATGACGACAAAAAAAAAAAAAAAAAAAACAAACAAACCAAGTACGTATGAATTGGTTGAATGTGGCTTCTATTCAGATAAACTTTTTCACATATAATTTGTCGTAGTAGACCAAAATTTTTTTTGCCTATTTTAACTTTATAAATTTAAGTTAAGATAAAAACATAATTAATCGAAAATGATTTTAATTAAAATAAATTTTAAACAGCAAACAAAATTTTGGTTTCCTGTTTGTTTTTCTAATTTTATTTTTTAAATATAATATTACGTAATATATTATTCTATTTTTATTTGGTTAAGCTAATAAGGAGTAATTGAAAACTTTCACCTCTCAAATGAACCCAAATATTGTATTTCCTTTTTTGTTTTTTTTTTTACTTTCAAGTTTGTTATATTTCGAACTAAAATGGACAACGGGAAAAAAAAAATAAACAGATATTTCTAGATTTTAGGAACTAGTTTCTAATGATAACCAAGTATTAAAAAGAAAAAAAACTATAAAAAAGCAAGAACGACGACAACAACATCAACAACAAAATATTTACCATTCAAAAAAAAAAGAAAAAAGGACCAAAATACGGATGAGTTGGGTAAGTCGTGTCAGATTATAATTGGACAATGTTGACCCGACAAAACACAACCGAACTCACTCTTCTTTAACTCCGATCCCTTTTTAACTGCCGCGTTTTCATCTCTCGGGTCAACCCCTCCCTACTCCCACGTACGTACGTTATTTATTTATATTTATTTATGACGTCATTTACCATACCACAAACTCCTTTTTATTTTTTTCTTCCAAAGTTAAAATTTTCTTCTTTATAAGAGTCGAGGTCAAAAAAAAAAAAAAAGAGTCAACTATTTAAAAAAGAATTGTGGGAAAAATACAAAAAATATATATTTATTTATCTCTTTAAAAAAATAATAATAAATATTTGTATGAGTTGAATATTTAGTTTTTACTTTTTACCCAGTGTAGTACTGTTCATTTTACGTCTTACAAATTTGCATTTACCATGGGTTTAAGTTTTAACCTATCATTTTTCTTTTATATACGATATACACCACAATCGTGTAAATGAAACCCAACTTTCACCGACGGGCAAAAGAAAAAAAGAAAAAAAAGAAAGAGAAAAAGAAGTAAAAAGAGATATATTTCTGAATTTAACTTTATACTCCAGAAAGTAAAAAAAAAACACACAATTAGCTGATAGTAAAATGGATTTAAGTAACCGTGGTTAGGTTTGTGACTGGTCAAGAATGGTTTCTGATTTTTCTGAGTAACAAAAATTAAAAATTTGTTGGTGACTCAATATATCGCGGCTCGTGATACGATAAATTGCTAATTTTTTGTTTATTATAATTATAATTAAAAAATACTCACTTGTTCTTGGACCTGATTACAAATGAAACAAACAAGTTAGTTGCAAGTTTTAATCAAAAAAAATAAATAAAAAAATAAAGTTTTATACTCCTATATATAAAAATATAAATAAATAAAAGAGTTATAAAGTTTGTGTTTGAGATAATCTCTCTGGTTTGTTTGGTTCTTGTTTCTGTATACATCATTTACTAAAGAGAAAACATAACAAAAGTGTTTATAAATTATAGTGGTCTTGTCCGTACCTGATTATAACTTCTCTCTTCTCTCTCTCTTTCTTCTTCTTCTTCTACGATCTGATCGGCCATTAAAGCTTTTTTTCCCCCTTCACTATGATACCTCTTTTGAAGTGAGAAACCAAAAAAAAGACGAAACTTTACTGTTTCCTCTGCAAATTTACTCACTTTTTAAACTCACCAAATCTCTCTCTCTCTCTCTCTCTCTCTCTCTCTCTCTCTCTCTCTCTCTTTCACTTCGCTTTCTCTATTTCCCCTGAAACGGTTCTTGTCTTTCTCTCTCTCTCTCTCTGTTTCGTCTTCTCTGTTTCTGAATCCTTTAAAGTTCTTGTCTTTGAGTACAAAACTTAACAAAGGATTGATCTTTCTTCAGAGTAAACAAACTTGAGATTACAAAACTTCGTCTCCTTCGTTTGAATTTTTGTTCTAAACATGGAGCAAGAGAAAAGCTTGGATCCACAACTATGGCATGCTTGTGCAGGATCAATGGTTCAAATCCCTTCAGTCAATTCAACTGTTTTTTACTTCGCTCAAGGCCATACTGAACACGCTCACGCTCCTCCTGATTTCCACGCGCCGCGCGTACCTCCTCTCATCCTCTGCCGCGTCGTCTCCGTCAAGTTCCTCGCCGACGCTGAGACCGACGAAGTCTTCTCCAAAATCACGCTTTTGCCATTACCTGGTAACGACTTGGATCTCGACAACGACGCCGTTTTGGGTCTCACCCCTCCTCCTTCTGACGTTAACGTTAACGGTAACGAGAAGCCCGCGTCGTTCGCTAAAACGTTAACGCAGTCTGATGCTAACAACGGCGGCGGTTTCTCCGTTCCTCGTTACTGCGCCGAGACGATTTTCCCGCGGCTTGATTACACGGCGGAGCCGCCTGTACAAACCGTGATTGCTAAAGATATCCACGGCGAGACTTGGAAATTCCGGCATATTTACAGAGGAACACCTCGCCGTCATCTCTTAACCACCGGCTGGAGCACGTTCGTTAACCAGAAAAAACTAATCGCCGGCGACTCAATCGTTTTCCTCCGTTCTGAATCCGGCGACCTCTGCGTCGGAATCCGCCGCGCTAAACGCGGAGGACTCGGATCTAACGGCTTAGCATCCGACAACAATCCTTACCCCGGCTTCTCCGGTTTCCTCCGTGACGACGAAACAACAACAACAACAACGTCAAAGCTAATGATGATGAAACGCAACGAGGGAAACACCGCGGCTGCAGGGAGGGTAAGAGTAGAAGCAGTAGCTGAAGCGGTGGCGCGTGCAGCGTGTGGACAAGCGTTTGAGGTAGTTTATTACCCACGCGCTAGCACCCCGGAGTTTTGTGTTAAAGCAGCTGATGTAAGATCAGCAATGAGGATAAGATGGTGTAGTGGTATGCGTTTTAAAATGGCGTTTGAAACAGAGGACTCTTCAAGAATCAGTTGGTTCATGGGTACTGTCTCTGCTGTTCAAGTCGCTGACCCAATTCGTTGGCCTAATTCACCTTGGCGTCTCCTCCAGGTTCGTTTTATACTCTAAAGTCTCTTCCTTTATAACAAAAAGTTCACATTTTTGAAATCATTAGGATTGGTTTGGTGGTTGTATAGGTAGCGTGGGACGAACCGGATTTGTTACAAAATGTGAAACGGGTTAGTCCATGGTTAGTGGAATTGGTATCAAACATGCCTGCGATTCATTTATCTCCTTTCTCACCAAGGAAGAAGATTAGGATGCCGCAGCCGTTTGAATTCCCTTTCGACGGTACTAAATTCCCGATTTTCTCCCCGGGATTCGCCAGCAATGGCGCTGGCGAATCCGTGTGTTATCTGTCAAACGACAACAATAATGCTCCTGCAGGGATACAGGGAGCCAGGCAAGCTCAAGCTCAACAACTCTTCGGATCACCATCTCCGTCTTTGTTGTCTGATCTCAATCTTAGTAGTTACTCCGGTAACAATAAGTTACAGTCTCCGGCGATGTTTCTATCCGGTTTTAACCCGAGGCATCATTATGATAGTATAGTGTCTCGTCAGGGTAGGGATATGGAGAATGGTAATAACATTTCGTGTTCTTTAACTATGGGGAATCCTGGTATGGTTCAGGATAAGAAGAAGTCTGGTGGTTCGGTTAAGACTCATCAGTTTTTGTTGTTTGGTCAACCTATTTTAACCGAACAGCAAGTTATGAACCGGAAACGGTCTTTGGAAGAAGAGGCCGAAGCGCGGGAGGAGAAAGGTTCCGCGGCTCGTGGGTTAACTTGGAATTATGGTTTCCAGGGACTTGAAACGGGTCATTGTAAAGTTTTCATGGAGTCTGAGGATGTTGGACGCACGCTCGATCTTTCGGTTATTGGCTCGTACCAAGAATTGTACCGGAAATTAGCCGAGATGTTTCATATCGAAGAGAGGTTGGATTTGTTGACCCATGTTGTGTACCAGGACGCAAATAATGTGACCAAACGCATTGGAGATGAACCTTTTAGGTAACTAAAAAGCTCTTAAAGTAACTCTTTCGGATAACGGTTTAGTTTTCGAATTTTTCCTCGGTGATTGAATTGCCGGTTTTCAAAATTTTGCAGCGATTTCATGAGAGCGACGAAACGGCTAACGATCAAGATGGATATTGGTGGCGACAGCGTGAGAAAGTAAGTCTTTTTACAAGCATGTTTGATTACACGGTTTGATTTTTCAATGTAGCGATTCGAATACCGATTTCGGTTTGGTATTTGTAGGACGTGGATAACCGGAATCAGGAATGGTGAAAATGGTATAGACGCTTCAGCAAAGACCGGTCCGCTCAGCATCTTTGCTTGAAGCACTGAAGAGGAAGTGCAGTGGCTTTTGTTTTGAAACCTCTTGTCTTTTATTCTCTTTTTTCTTTTTCCTATTTTAAATCCTTTTTTTTTTGGTATTTTGTGTGTAACAAACTATTTTTAAGTTTTAAGAAACTTCTCTAATTGGTATTTGAATTTGTTTGGGGTTGTAAAATTGTATATGATATAATCAATCAAAGAACCTACCATATCATTGGGGAATACCAAAAGCTAAATTTGTTTGAAGAATATACTATTATTATGAGTATAAATGTGTGCAATATGGTTCAGTTCTACGAATTGGATATAAAGCTTTATATTAAATTGGTTTTTTGTAGCTAACTTATTTATGAAATTATTTTCTCTTTGGTAGGTAACTTTTTGTGTGGCTAGCTACACTGTTAGCTAAATTATTGTTTCAAAAGCTTCCCTAAACTGTTGGTTCTTATAAGTGTTGTTTAAAGTGTTTTTTTCCTACATATATTAAAAAGTAATTACATTATATTTATTTTTTTCATTAATTAATACATTTAAATGTCAAGACTGAAAATTTTAACAACTATCTACAATACAAAGCGACACTTATTATTTTAAAATTAAATTTATAAACATTACTTAATATGAAACGGATTGAATATTGTTTTACGTATTTCTTGTAAGAGAACATTCATAAAAGAAATTTCATTCAGATATTTTAACAGAATTTTCCTGGAAGAAAATAAACATAATTATTAATTTATCTATGGGATCTACATGAATTTCATAATTTGGTCTCCCTCGCCATATTTAATTAGTTCAATGAATTAGCAGAGGGAAGATCTATTTAAATATTTTGGTTTAAGATAACTTCAATTCTACTTAAAGTTAGTTGCTTTGAAAATTAACCACACATTATTTTAATCAACACTACTGTCACACACACACGCACGTACGTTTTAATACAACTTTCTTGCTGATAACAAGAACTTGAATCTTTAAAAATCGACACAAACCTAAGTAAGAACTCTATACAATGTTTCATGGAATAATGTTTTACGTACTTTTACTCATAGTTAACTTTGAATCTATTTAGTATTTACACATTATACATTATGGAAATCTAGATTTTATTAAGTTCATAGTTCATACATATAAATCTTGATGGCTGTGGAAGTGGAACCATATTAATGTACTCTTTCTTGTTTTGATCGTTATTATTTTTTTTTATTTTTTTAGTTAAATTTGACGAAGAGACAATATAATTAGGAAAAAAATTAAAGAAAGGGATTTGGGGATCTGAAATGCGGAAAACATGACAGCAAAAACTTGACTGTCTCGGTGAAGTTGTCGAAAAAGTCAAATATGATGAGTTCGAAAACTGAAGAAGAAGAGAACACAACGATTGTTTTAGCCACTAGGAGAGTCCCTCTCACATGACACTGTCTTATGTCCGTCCATCTCACGTGCGGTTCCATTTCTGCCGCCGTTTTGTTGCTTGTGCCCAACCTTATATAGTATCATTTAAAACGAGCCATTAATATAAGAATCGTTCATAATATATCTTGAAAGTTTCTCACGATTTTACAAAAATAATCGAGTAGACTGACTCGTTGGTGAAATACTTAACTTGATTACTAGCTAACACGGTTGAAAAACATATAATATGGCATTACCATAAGGTTCTAAGCTAGAGCTAAGATATATGATTTGGCACCGACGAGAGCTAGGATAACCTAAGGAAGAATATGAGATCTTCTTGCCTATGAACATTGTTTTACTTCTATTTTAGTTTATTTAGTGAGTAGTCATCTAGTTAGGTTTTAGGGATTTAAAGGAGTTCATGTTTTCATATATTTCATTATAGCGATTATAATTTTACGGTTGTTGATCTTACGTATTCACAATATTTACATTCTTTAATGGCAATATCGAATCCATCAGTTCTAGCTTATGTTGATTTACTTCTCAACAAGTTGATTAAATCTCCTGAATTAGTATAAATGAGTCATTAATGCGTCGTAAGTCAGTAACCTGTCACAAGTTGAGTGTTATATACGTAGTACTATGAAGAATATCAAAATTTTGAACACATTTTAAAACATGTTTAACTATCTTATGAAGAACCACAAGTTTAGTCTATCAAGTTATATAATAAAAGATCGTAGTTCATGACCATAATTAGGTATGTCACTGCAGCTTTGAGATCCGTATTATTGATACTAGGTAATGTCCCGCGCATATGCGCAGGTTTTTATATATTAAGTTAATTTATTAATTATTAAAAGTAGAAGAAATAAATTTCAATGTTTATGATATTTTTACACTTTATTTACTTAAATCATACAATACAAACATACATTCATATCTCTTGAATTTATTCGTTCATTAATTGTTCAATTTTGATAGTAATTTTCTTAGTACTTTTGAGTATTTTTTGATAAAATAAAGCAATATTGTTAACGATAAAAATAGAAATGGTATTGAGAGAATTTTAAAAATTTCACTTTTCAAATACCACTTTTTAAATTTATCCCTTTTTCAAAATTTATCAAAAAATCACTAAAAATGTTGAAATTTATCCAAATATGTGTGTAAGCTTATAAATATACATACACATTACTTTTGTTTGTTTATAAAATTTTATTTATTTCAATGTCTTACAAATTGGTATGATAATTATATAAAAAAATATTTTGTTACAATAATTACATACTTTTGAAAATAAAATAAATATACATGAAAATGTGAGAAAGAAACAAACATCTAAAATAAAAGAATGAAGATGGTTTTTTTACTTGATTTTCTTATGTGTGATGGTCGGAAATCAATATTTTTGAATCTCATCGATAAAGTGATTTTCTTATAGACATAAGATAATATTATACTCATGTATTATATATTTAATAGTATAAGAAAAAAATGAAGAAATGAAAAAGTACATAAAACAAAGAAAAAATAGAATTGAAAACAAAATTTTAAACCAAATATATAATCAAGCTCTTACAATGATATCTTAATTGAGCTTTCAACCCATGCAAGAACATTAAAAATGAAACAAAGAAAATATTGAGGGTATCAAATATGGTGTAAGAGGATGTAAGAATGGGTATGTATAGGATAAAATATGATGTAATTTATATTTCTAAAATAATTAAATTAGAGTAGTTATAATTATAATTTATAGTGTGTTAATTGAAATTGAATGGATGAAACAAATAGTCAATTCACAAGTTATATAATTTCAGTTACATTTTAATAGTAAAGTTTGGATTTCAAGTATGAATTAAAGTATATGATTAAATGTGTTAGATATTAGATTTAATTAGAAATAGATATTATAATTAAAAATAAATGCTAAATGGACCAAGAAGGAGAGAGTGAAACCTTAAAAATTCCCAAAAAATAATTTTATTTTTTAAAAATATGTTTATATTCTTTTTAATTTAAGTTATATCTCTAGGTTTAATTATATTTTTTCATCCTTTTAGTCTATATAATAGATAGAAAATTGAATATCAAATTGTTTTCTAGATAGGAGATCAAGTATAAAATTCAAAATTAACAAAAATTATAATGTTCTTTATATTATTAAATGTTGAATCACAAACTAAATATAAGGATTATTATTCTTAAGATAATGTCTTACAAATTGGTTTGATAATTATATAACAAAAATTTATTTTGTTAAAAAAATTCGTACTTTTGAAATTAAAATAAATATACATGAATATGTGAGAAAGAAACAAACATCCAAAGTAAAAGAATGAAGATAATTTCTTTAGCTTGATTTTCTTATTGTGCAATGGTTAGAATTCAATATTTTTGAATCCCATCAATAAAATAATTTTCTTATAACCATAAAGTATTATTATACATATGTATTACATTTAAAAATATAAAAATAAACAATGAAGAAGTGAAAAATACATATAAACCAAATATTTAATCAAACTCTTACAATGACATCTTAATTGAGAATTCACCCATGCAAGAACTTTTTTAAAAAAACAAAGAAAATAATGAAGATATGAGATATGGTAGAGGAGGATGTGAGAATGACTATTTATAGGATAAGAAGTGATGTAAGTTACATTTTTAAATTAATTAAATTAGAGGAGTCATAATTATAATTTATAGTGTGTTTAATTGAAATTCAATAAAGAAAACCAATAGTCTTTGAAAAATTATATAATTTTCAGTTACATTTTAGTAGTAAAGTGTGGATTTAAAGTATGAATTAATGTATATGATTAAATGTGTTTTTTGGTAAACAAATATTAAATTAAAAAAAAATATAAAATGGAGCAATAAAGAGAGAGTGAAACCTTAATTTATATATATATATATAATTAACTCCTTTCATTTTCTTTGCCTTTTGTTTATAACTTATGGTGTAATTAAATTTTGTATTGAATGATTGTCATAAACATTTACTTATATATACGTTTTTTTTTTAAATGAAGGGCTTAAATGTTTTTCCACCAATAAAGAGAGAGTGAAACCTTACTTTTATATATATGATTCACTTTTAGTACTGGTATAGGAACCATAGGCTGAATAGAGGGTGGAGCTTTTTGTTGCCTTGTTGGTTGCAATGTTTTTTTCATATCGGTTGGGAAATTCTAAGGTAGAAGCCCATCCACATGAACTCGCATACTGGCAGCTGATTGAGTGATGATGTCTAGTGCTTTTTCCAGTGCTAATAATGGTATTTTCAATCTATAGACTTTAGACCAAGGGCATTAGCGTATCCCTCCTTCGTCCTTCTGTTTTTTAAAAAAAAAATAAATCAAAAAGAAAAAAAAAAAAGGTGGGTCGACAACAAAACGGGACGGTCCCGTTTTCTTTTCTTCAGAAATCGCGGGCCCCACTGAAACGTGGCGGCCCGCGATTGGTTACATTCTTTTTTTTTTTTTTAATTCAAAAAATTTGGAAAAGAAAAAAAAAAAATTAAAAAAAAGTATGGGGTACGACCAAACCGATGTGCATGCCCTTACACTCTTTTCCCAAAAAAAAAAAAGAAAAAAAGAAAAGAAAAGACTTTACACTCTGATTTAGGATAGAAAAAGAATTTGAATTATTGGTTTCCATAGTTGTAATATGACCATTTTATAAAATATTGATTTATACTACCGGTTATAATTAAATTAAAAGAGACTAAAAATTAATATACAAATAAATGTACTGAAATTATGAAAAATCATTTTCCAATTTGACAGTTTTTTCATATATATACATAAATCATATCCTAAATGCTATTGCTTTTTTTCCCACGGTAGATATTATATTAAAATCCATATATTCATCAGAATTCATATTTGTGTGTGTTTATGTTTTTTAAAGTAACTGAATAATTATATTGAAGGAGAAAAAGACGAGCGAGTTCAAAGCGTTTACCTATCATATTCAAAATATATGTCAAACTAGATCCTTAAATTCAGAAATATAGCTTAAAATAGACACATCTAGCTTACTGTATATATAACTACATTTTGTTAAAGTTAAACACAAACAAACAAACAAAAAAAAACTTCACTTTATTTATTCTTTTTCAAGTTTAAAAGCTATCAATTGATTTTATACCATATCCTCGATGAAGAAGACCGCTCAACTGTTCACCGTTATGCTCATCTTCACCATTCTCGTCCTAGGTTTGTATTCACTCGTTGAAACATCAATTAAACTATTACATGATGTTGTAATTAGACACAAATTAATATCTTAATGTTTCATACACATGATGATTGTAACAGGAGTGGTGGCAGATGAAGGGTTAGGAAAAAAGAAACAATGTCATGAAGTTCTAAAAAAATCAGGTTGTGTTGACAAAGAGTGTCAGTCTATGTGTAAGAAGAAGCAGCCGAAAGGAGTTGGTTATTGCACTCCTTCTAAGAAGTGTTTCTGTTATTTCCATTGCCCCTAATTAAAATAATTTTTATGATTTACAAATAATTAGAGACTTAAATTATAATAAAGTTAGTAAAATAATTTAACAATTCGGGGTTATTATATAGCCTTTCACGATTGTTATAGTTGTCTCTATCAAATCACTTTGTAGTTTCAATTATAATAATTAATAATATTTTTTTTGATTTTATATAAAACAACAATTGTCTACATTTTATCGTTTCACAAAATCATAAAACTTTGTTTTTTTTTTCCTTTTTTTATAAAAGTTGTATATCATATAGTAATATTCAACACTTTTAAGTATTTATACATATGATTAGAAAAAGAAGGACAAACAAAAAAAAGAGAAATTATATTTTGAAGAAGTCAAATGGTCAAAACAGTATATATGGAGAATAGAGATGAATGAGTGAAAAAGACAACAAATGGCGAAAGCATTTCGAAGGAAACAAAACAAGTTCCCTTATTTTGCTCTCTTTAGTTTTTTGTTTTTTTTTCATTACCAATCCGATTGCCGTGGGATCTGTTTTTGTTTTTTACTTCAACTCGTTCGTTGGGATGATCCAAAGCATGTATTAATACTTGTCGTAAAAGTAATTATTGTGTAATATAAATATGCCTTATTCCTAAATTAATATAAGGCTTATCCATTTAAATTTAACAGAAAATGACAAAACAAAACAGTATTGAACTTGGAGTTTGAATTTGAATTATATTTTTGCAACAATCTATGTATCTTTAAATTTTATAAACACGAAATGTTTTAATATACGATCTAGACATTTTATCTTAATGTTGCCCCCATGAATAAAGGAATAAAAATTATCAAAAAAAAAAAAAGATGTAAGCAACAATGTTTTAACTGATGTACATATATTTATCGCTTGTGAAGAAAAAACCAAAAATACCGAAACTAAGCTTAAAGTGTAGAGAACATTTTACAGATAAATAAAAAATTCATGGAAAAATAATAAACATCATTTTATATATTTTTATGGCTGATTAATTCATCTATGGTTAATTATACATTACACAAACGTTTCGTAATTTTGGATATAAATGTATAGTGTATAGTTTCGATATATAATTAACGAGATCATATTTTCGTGATTAATGAGCTTGAATCTGTCATAAAAATAATCTAAAAGGAAGAAAATATAAACATTATAATTTATAAACGTAAAGAATGTATACAAGATAATAAAACGTTATAGCTCGTTGATGATGAAGATTTGTGCAAATCTCGTTTTCTTGAATTGTAATTTTTTTTAAGTGTAGTTAATTTATACAATTTGTGGCGTTTCTTAGGTCTAAAGGAGAAGAAGACATGATATATATGCATATCATCCAACTACAATATTAATCTTAACTGTTTATTACTTAATTAAGTATTAGTAGTACGCATCTTAAGTACTTTGCTCGATAAACAACAAATGTGAGTGTAGTTTGTTTAAAGAACTAGTTACATACATGTTTCATACACATTTAAAATCATGATTAATGATTCATTAAATGGTTAAGGTCCCGATAGATCGATCAGATGGTCCAAAATGAGACATTGAAAACTAAAACAATTGAATGAGTCAAGAAAAATAAAAACTGTAGAGACATAGATTAGCGCAACACCAGCAAAAACGCTGTGTTAATGACAATGTTAATTAAATGTTTTATATTTTAATTAAAACCATAGTGTAGACAGTAAGAAAGCACTACTCGCACAAGATCCAAGACCATATTGAAAAGGAAAGAAGAAAAACATTTTGAGTCTTTGTCAATAAACATCAAATTCACCAACCATATAAATTAATTAACCAAGATTATGATGAATGATTCGGTTGGTGTCACTATCCATTTTGTGTAAACATCATCAAATTGATTCTTTTAATTTTCTGAATATTAGTTTAGATTTTGACCCTTTGATCTATTTACAATATACAGTATACGTATTTGTACTTTGTAGTAAAGAGTATATTCTCTATAATTATGGCTAAAAGAGAATTATTATTACTGGTGATGTGTTAGGACATATTTTTCACATATATACTTATGGTTAAACATATTTATTTTTTTACATTTATACTTATTTTTTAGCTTTTTAATGTATTTGTATGGTAAAAATTCTAATTTTATCCAAAATGTTTTAATATTTTGACTATACAAATAATAAAATATCTTTAAAAAAATAGAAAATTCAATTAATTTTGTAATTTTGTGAAAACAGATGAAGTATTGCTCATTTCTTTAATTTCAATAGCAAAACTGCAAAACACATCTGAATATTTAAATTTGTCATAACCAATTAGTTCAAATTTTTTTTATAACCATTACATATTCTTTTTCATTGATTTATAAACTGAAAACTTAAAATTTTATTCAGCTCGTGCATTAGCACCGATAACATGTAATTTGCAAAGATAATGAATGGAATTAGTTTGGTTTGGTAATAAAAAAATTTATAATACAATTATAAATAAAAATAAAAATAAAAAGAACAAGAGAGGGAAAGAGACAGAGATCTTCGATAACGTTGCACAGACGTCGCGCTCGTGCGGTAGGACCCACAAGACACGTGTGTTGTTTTCTTCGGAGCGGTCTTCTTGTTATTACGTTGACGTGGCTGTTACTCACCTCAAGTTATTATGCCACGTGTATGGTTAGATTCTCTTAACAGTCACGGAGTCACCCTCGTGTCCGTGTGAATCGTTCGGTCTAGATTCTACTCTTTCTGATCCACTTTTACCGGTTTTGTCCTAAATTTTGATTTTTTTTTTGTTTTATTTGGTCAACGATATTTTACGAAACTTTTCATTTTTAATTTCTCGGTTACTTATTCAGATTCCTTCAAACTCTAAAATATCGTATCGTGTGTGTGTGTTTGTATGTTTTTCTTCTTTTTATAATCTTGTGCTAATAAACACCTATTTATTTATTTAAAAAGGTCATAATCCGTTAGTAAAACATTTGAACTGACAAAAACAAACTATTTTATTTTAAAAAAAACATAGTATGACGACGGGTTGGTATGATCTGACCAATTCTGCGTTAGTGTTTGTAGGATTCAATGATTTTTTTTTTTCTTATAAACCAACAACTAAAACAATTTTTTTATTAATACTTTAAATGTTTTTATGTTTCTGAAAGATTTATGAAGGGTAACATCAAAATTTATTTTGTCGAAAACAGATTTGTTATTTATGACGGTATATGTCAATAACAAAAGAAGAGAATTGCTGTGTTGAAACGAGTTTTTTTTTTTAGTGGGGAATAAAAAAGGAATGATGGCATTGGCATGCAAAAAAATGATGTGAAACAACAACTAACAATGTCACTAAACCAACCATCCACAATATTTATAGTTATAAAAATCATATGTTCTGTATAATACAAAAGACAAAGTGGGATGTTTTTTTCTTTTCATATCTCTCTATAAATTTGTTAGTGTGTCGCTTTTTTTTGGAATCTTTGTTATTATAAAGTAGAATCATGACCTTACCTTATTACTTATTAGTTGTCATTATCACTCCATTTTCTGCAACAGTTTATTTTTAATACGAGTTTGATTGAAGTGTATTAGTAACCAGAGTGACTAGTAAATAACAAATGATATAAGGTGTTTTTATCTGAACAAATGAAGATATGATCCAAAGTTGTTGTATAATTTGGCATAACGAGTAAATCAAGAGACATCTTTTTTCAAAAACTATAAAAATTAGAAACAAAGACCAAAAATATAAATATGAAACAGTCAGTACTCGAGATTTTGTATGGTTTTGTTTACCTTTTATATTTTTTTTACTCCAAAACTGTAACTTCTTGATCAACCCTCCAGAAGTTTGCATCGCTGAACTCTGTCACACCAGAATTCTCCTCTTGGTTTTCGTTTTCCGGAACTTTCTGGACGATATTCCGCTTCAACGGTCCTGCTTCACCGACGATCCCTTCTTTTAAAGCTTGATCCATTGCTTTCTCTGTTCCTTCTGGTTGTACCCCCACAAACTCTACATCTTCTTCAAATAGTGCTCGCACCGCAGGAGCTGAAGGCGATTTGTGGCCTGAGCTGCTGCTTCCAGATGAAGATGATGTTGGGGAACCATTTGGAATAATCGTGTCGGTTTTGACATCCAGCATTGGTACGTCGATGAATGGGTTCAGACTGGAGCTTGTGATTTGCATTTCAGATGGTTCATCATTGTTCTCTGATATGTTGATGCTTGTTGCGTCTGATGTTGATAAATTGTCGGGAGAGATGTTCTTCGGTTTCTCTGTTAGATTATCGTCTTCTTCTTCTTCTTCTTCTCCAACCAGAACTTCATCGTCACTGCTGCTGCTATTGTTGGCGTTTGAGTTCTCATTCATGTTCACGTCTTCAATCATTGTGTCAGAGGTAGTGTTGCTGAATCTGTCATCTTGGAATGTGAACCAGTCCGAATTTGTGAGCAAGCTGCAGCAGGTAATGAGACATGATCAAGTCTTCATTGAAAAAAACAGTACTACAGGTGACTGAGATAAAGAACCCATATGAGAACACTCAATAAACCCACCTTCCTTGATCATCTCCGAGTCTCAAGGATGAAATTACTACTTCAGCAGATTCATCATCAAAGTATGCATCCTGCATATAATATAAAGATAAATCCTCTATTAACAAACTTTCTTGAATACGGAAAATAGTTTCAAGCTTACATCTTATCACATAATAAGAAATCCTATTGCGAAAACCGATATAAAAGTTTCCTTCGAAATTCAAAAAGGAAAAAGAGAAGACGTGAGCAGGACTTACACTATCGTCTCTATCAAGGGCATTGAGAGCATTCTGATCCTGAAACCAGAGAAGACAAAAGGATTAAACTGGTGTCTGAGTAAAACGTTTCAGAAATTCAAGAACAACTATAAGCAGAAAAATACCTCTTCATTACCCTCGTTTCCATAGATTCTGTAATTAAATGCTTGGTTCAAATTGTTCGCCAAAGCTGCAACATCGTAATCCCTGTCTTCCTCGTCACTATCCCTTGTTCTGTCTTGCAGTGTAGTTGGACGCCTGTATGACATTGGTT